TTTAAAGAACAGTGGTGGGGACTTCACTTTTAAAGAGTAATGCCATGCGCTGTTTCACACAACTGAGCTCTTTCTCACCCATGCTTGAGCTTTTATTTATTTATTTATTTATTTATTTTGAGTTGGAGTCTCACTCTGTCGCCCAGACTGGAGTGCAATGGCCGCTCCCGGCCACTGCAGCCTCGACCTGCTGGGCTCCGGCGATCCTTCTGCCTCAGCCTTCTTAGTAGCCGGAATTACAGGCGCGCGCTACCATGCCCGGCTGATTTTTTTTTGATTTATTGTAGAGATGAGGTCTCGCTGCCCAGGCGGGTCTCGAACCCGCCGGCTCAGGCAATCCACTCATCTCAGCCTCCCAAAGGCGCGGGATGACAGGCTGAGCCACCGAGCCCGGCTTCATGCTTGAGCTTTTAAATAAGATATTGGATCAGAAGATTCATGCCTTTCAGACAATATAAAATTTTCCGTGTGCTGTCTCAGACCAAAAGAAGAATAAAGTCTAGAGCAAACAGAGATCCAAACATGAAAATACGAACTCCACAAATCTTAGAAGAAAATGCATTTTTAGAATATCAAAGAAGGCCTTCCTAATTGAACAAGAAGGTTTAGACCGTAAAGTAAGAAGACAGTATTTGATGGCATTAAAATCTGTATTATCTATAGAGAAACTCACAGCAGAGTTTAAAGAATGACAGACTTGGGAAAAATATTTGTAATACATATAACAAAGACTTGTAGCTATAATGGATAAAGATTGTATTTTATAAATATAGAGAAATAAATAAGAAAACTAAATAATCTACTCTGAATAAATACAATTGTAAAAAAGAGAAATAAGTTACTGTCATTATAGAGAAAGATCTGAAATTACCAGTAATTGGAGAAATACAAATTAAAACAAGATACGTATTTTTGCCTGTCAAAATGGCACCAGTTAAAAGGGCGGTTCTGTGGTGTTAATGAGAGGGTGGGGAATGTGACCTCTTCCTGGGAGAGCCTGAATTCACAGAGCCTTTTCATTAGACAAGTTCTCAGGAACTGTTAAGTATTGAAAAGTATGATGCCCTTGGCCCAGAAATTTCACTCTTAGGAATCTTTCCTACAAGTGTACTGAAAAGCGTGTGCCAAAACACCCACGTGTACACATGTTCACACATACATGTACACTCATATACAATCTTTTGGTCATAATAGAAAAAAAGAAAAATAGCAAAAACAGCTGAACAGCCACCCACTGGAGAATGTCAGTTCCAGGATATCAGTATTGTGAAATAGATACACAAGGAGCAGGGTCTGCCTGTATGTGTCCTTGTTTAAAGATGTCTGTATGAATTAAGTAAAAAACGGAAGAACAATGTATTTGTTTTTTTAGTTTTGTTTTTGTTTTGTTTTGAGTTGGAGTCTCACTCTGTCGCCCAGACTGGAGGGCAGTGGCACGCTCCCGGCCACCTCAGCCTCGACCCGCTGGGCTCTGGCGATCCTTCCACCTCAGCCTTCCAAGTAGCTGGAACTACAGGCATGTGCTACCATGCCCGGCTAATTTTTGATTTATTGTAGAGACGAGGACTCGCCAAGTTGCCTAGTGGATCTCGAACCCGCGGGCTCAGGCAGTCCACTCGTCTCGGCCTCCCAAAGTGCTGGGATCGCAGGCTGAGCCACCAAGCCCGCCCAGAACAATGAATTTGTACAATCCTTCCACCAATGAAGAAGAAGGCCCTTGTTCGGTGGGCAGATGAAGGTGCACACAGCAGCTGGTGGTGCTTCCCCCACGGTCTGGGGCTGGGTGTGGCCCAACGGTGCTGGAAAGGGAAGCTTGTTTACACCGTACTCTATCCCGTTTAAGTTTTCAAGTTTTTATTATTTGTATAGTAAAAGTCATTTTCAACTGAGATATAAATATATAAACAACATTTCGAGACTTACGAAAATATGATTTGCTTCACCACAAATACTTGTCTGCGCAGCTTTCCGTATTCAGGAAAAGATGACCTAGGAGGACTTCCTCCATCTGTGAAGCATGAATTCAAGTTAAGAATTAATTCATCTGAGGGCCGGGCTCAGTGGCTCAGCCTGTCATTCCAGCACTTTGGGAGGCCCAGGCGAGTGGATCGCCTGAGCCTGTGGGTTCGAGACCAGCCCGGGCAACTTGGCGAGACCTCGTCTCTACAATAAATAAAAAAACTAGCCGGGTGTGGTAGCGTGCGCCTATCGTTCTGGCTACTTGTAAGGCTAAGGCAGAAGGTTCACCAGAGCCCAGCAGGTTGACGCCGGGGTGGCCATGAGTGTGCACTACACTCCAACCTGGGTGACGGAGTAAGACTCCAACTCAAAAAAAAGAAAAAGAAAAAGAATCAATTCATCTGAGGACTGCGTGCAGGACCCTTCATTCCCACTCCCATCTTCACTTTCCTCTTTCCGTGGTCATAAAGCAGTGATGTTTTCTTGAGAAAAGAAAACATTTGTAAATCCCGGGGTGTGTGTTAACCTGAAAGTTAATTTGTGAATACTCTGCTGTTTATCCACAAGATAAAATAAGCGTTGGTTGAGCAAGGCATTATTTGGGGTCCATCTTCTGGTCAACGTGTTCGCTGTCTTTGACCCACACAGAATGAACTTCCTGCTTGCTCTTGTGCACATCCCTGGGACGATCACCCTGGGGCTGGTGGCTGCCCCTGCAGGCCCTCAGGGCTCCCTGCAGACGCACTAGGAGTACATTGCAGCCAGCGCGGGCCTTGTCCTGTTCACAGTGGCTATCCTTGCAGCGAGCCCACCAAGGACCAGTCCCAGAAGCGTCTCTCGGCCTGGGCATGCTCCAGAGTCATTTATCCACTAACCTCTTGGCGATGAACCACTAACCTGCCTCTCGTGGCAGAAGGGATGAAGCAGGGAGGCATGGCATGGCGCAGGGTCAAGACCGGGGTGTCCCAGACACAGACAGGTCATGTTCAGGGAGTGTCAAAGCCTGTGTTGACAAGGGTTGACAAGCATGTCACACTTCCCTCAGCCTGTGAGGCCACATTTACATCTGTACCCCAACTGCAAAGGGCCCAAGCTCCAGCTTTCTGACTAGGAACAATTTCAATCTTCTCCGGGAGAATTGAAAATTGTTGATAAGCCCTGGGAAGGCTTTGGGGGGGAACATCAATGTGGGGGTGCCCTAGGGGCTTTCTCTTTGTAGGAAGTAGACTCTTAAGTCCCAGGACTGAGCAGGGCTGAGCTGGGCCCTCCGGAGTTCCTGCCCCTCAGTGGTCAGACCTTGAGGGCATCCCAGAGAGCCAGCATCACCAGGAGCGCCATACAGACTGCCAGCCTCTAGAGTGCTCAGGGTGTGGCCGGCTGAGGCGCCCACATCCCCTGGGAAGAGTGCCATTCCCGCCAGACTTTCCCCACCAGCCGGAGGTGCGCAGGCAAACATCCTGGCTCACCGGGTGGCAGCCACAGTTCACATCCCCCACACGTACCTCTCCATCTTCCCAGGTGGGCCCAGAGCCAGCTTCCTGTAGGCCCAATGCTGAGTTCAGACTGGCCCAGTCCAATGGGCACCGTTGGTCATCTTTGTCCCTAGGATATGTGGGGTCTGAGAGAGTGGAGGACGGGGCCGAAGGGTAGGATGGGGAAGGACCCAGAAATCCGCTCCATCCAGCCTCACTGCTGCTCTGCCTTTTTCCCCATGGGGTAGACGGCAGATGCACACAGCTGTAGCGACTGAGGGAGGGCGCCACTCAGCCCCTGCCTACGTCACCCAGGTATGAGTGGATGCGCTGAGAGATATGCCCGCCCACTGGGCTCTCTGGAGTCCCCAGCCCTGCTGCAGCACATGTGTGCACGTGTGTGTGTGTGTGTGTGTGTGTGTGTGTGCGCGCGCGTGTGCGTGTGCTATGAGTTTGAGGCAGTACTGCAGTTGACAGAGTTCGCTCCTCGGTCTCCTGGCCTTCATCATACTCCCACCAGAGTTGTGCACTGCCACCTTGGGCAGAGAGCCTGTTTCCTACCCTTGGACGGGGGTCAGACCCATCTGCCTCCAGTTGCAGCCCTCTGTGCCATGACTCTGGAAGTCTCTTTGCCGTGCTGGACTCACGGGTGAACTGTGTATCAACAGCATTTAGAAAAGCTTTGGAAAGGGTGGTGTCAGACACTCAGAGGCAACCTGACCACTCCACAAACACTGTGCCTGCAGGCATGAAAGCAATGCACAAGTGCGCCTTCCCACTTGCCTGAAAGGCACGGCCTCTGAGGGAAGGGGCCTGGCGCGGTCTCTGTAGCAGCATCATCGACTTTTTCTTCAGTGTCCCGGTTCCTAGGGGAATATGCTTTGAGAAACTCAACAGTGAAGATGGGCTTAACTTTCTTAGAGACGTGGCACTGGGAGAAATAGCTTCATCTTTGAGAGACTCTGTCAGCTTCCCTGAGGTGGGGACAGAGGGTGTCATCTGGCAGGAAAGGGGCTTTGGTGACCGGAGCCCTGGGCTTTTTGTACCCCAAGAGAAGGCAGCGTCTGAAGGCCTGCCCTGTGCAGGGGGTGACTCATGCAGCCAACCTGCCTCGGCCAGCACGCTGACCTGGATTTCGAGTTCTCACGTGGGCACTGGGGACGGTTACAACCTGTGGGGCCAACAGACACGTTTTCTCAAGGCTCTCGCGTTATACAACAGCAGAGGCAAGGTTTGTGAAATGCATCAGGCTGAGCACCCTCACTCTCAGACCCCCCACTCTTCTGGACGTTCTTTGAATGTCAAAGTCTGCCGAGGGCCTTGAGCACCGGGCTTGAATCCAGCATCATGTGTGGTCAGAAGCACAGGCTCCAAAATCCCATGACCCTAAGTGTGTCTCCAAGTGGGTTAATAGTTTCTCTTTCCTGAGGTCCTCACAAGGATCAGATGTGTGTAGGAGACCTCCCTGGCCTGGGAGCTGTGAGGGGCGGGACCTGGAGAAGTCAGGCCCAGAGGACGGGCAAGGGCCAGGGGGGCTGGTCGCTGATGCCGTCTCCCGTTCTCTTGCAGCGGAGCTGGAGTTCGCGCAGATCATCCTCATCGTCGTGGTGGTCACGGTGATGGTGGTGGTCATCGTCTGCCTCCTGAACCACTACAAAGTCTCCACGCGGTCCTTCATCAACCGCCCGAGCCAGAGCAGGAGGCGGGAGGACGGGCTGCCGCAGGTGAGTGCCCCGGCGGCGACGGGCTCCCAAGTCAGGCAGGTGCATCCAGGGCGAGGATGCCGGCCAGCCTCCACCCGCCCGCTGCAGTTCGGGGCTGTGAAGCCTCTCTGTTGACGGTTAGCATTCAACAAAGCGCACGCATCACAAGTGTTCGGATCCGTGAATCCCCACAGGCAGAACACACTCATGTGACTAGCCCCTGGTCAAGAAGGAGACACGGCAGTCCCGAGAGCCCACACGCGGACGCTTCCAGGCGCCCCCTGAGAGGCTCTGTCTGTCAGATGAGCTTTGCTGGTTGCTGTGCCTGGGTTCTCTCATTTAACATTAAGTTCCCGAGATCCACCCGTGGTGTCCTATAGAGATCCGTCTTAAACTCGGTCCTGGAGGTGTTCCGGTGATGATAACTCATGTCACTAACGGTGTCAGCAGTGTTTAAAGGAGAGCTTGGGGCTGTGGGAGCCTCCTGGGGACAGGAGGATGGGGTTGTGCAGAGGTGCACACGGATCAACCACAGTGAGGCCCTGAACTTAGGCCGTTTGGAGGTTTCTAGCTCTTTCTTGCCCTGAGCCATCTTTCTCCCCTGGAAAATGGAGCACCGATATTCAGCCAAACTGCTTGCCGATCAGACCTGGGAAAGTATGAGCCGAATGTGGTGGCATGTGCTTATAATCCCAAATACTCAAGAGGCTGAGGCAGGGGGATTGCTTGAGCCTAGGAGTTTGAGGCTGCAGTGAGCTGTGATCACACCACTGCACTCCAGCCTGGGTGACAGAGCGACACCCTGACTCTAGAGAAAACAAAACAAACAAAAAACCTGAGTGACGTTCTGTCCTGAGTCTCTCTTACCGTCTGTGATTCCACTGGCTTTCAGGGAGAGGTTTAGGAGTGGTGAGTGTAGGCAAGTATACATTCTCGGCGGCAATGACGGGTGAGGAAGGCAAAATCCCATCACACTCAGCTCCTGCAGTTTGCTAAGCAGCAGGCGAGGGACCTTTACGGGGCACCCCTTTTCAGGACCAGGGCTGTGCGACACCTGATCCTGCCATGACTTAGAGAGGCTGTGATGGGTGTGGGCTTAGCCATCCCAATGGGTGTTATGGATGGCAGCCAGGCCTGGGACCCCTGGCACCCCTCTCAGGAAGGCAAGGTGATGCTTTGGGGGAGTCATTGGCTTGGTTGTCCCTGTGGGTAAAATCGAGGTTTGCTTGCATGCTTTGCAGCCTGTAGCAAGTCGTGGGGAGAGGGCAGGGGTGGGTGTCACTGCGTGCCACCCTCAGACCACACGGTGGGCCCGATGGGGTGGTAGCAGGGAGGAGATGGACATTGGAGGAGGCACGCAGCCCTGACAGCCCTCACCCCCTCTGGCCTCCCTGTGTTGTCCCTTGCCCCTTCCTTCCTTTCTCCAGGATCCCAGTTCAGCCCGAGCCCCTCTGACCCCTCTGTCACTTTCCTCACACCTCAGTGGCTTTCTAGGCTTTGTCATCTGCAGGCAGTCTGGTGCCCACAGGCCACACCATTCAGACTCAACGCTTTGGTGTCCTAATGCCTATAGGCTGTTGTACAAGAAAAGAACTAATTCTTCTGAAGTTCTGAACACACATGACATGTAATTCTCCCGAGTTTCAAGAAAGAGGATGGGGAGAAAGTCTCGTTACAGCAGCAGTTTTAGAAGTACCAGAGGCTTGGACGTCATTATTCTGTCTTAATGCAAGGACTATGAATGCCACCCCCAGCCTTGGTGGAAAGAGGTACAACTAACTCTCTCTCACCTTTGCTCCAGGGGCACCAGAATGCTTGGGGTCCCTGTACACGGGCACATGGGAGATGCTTCCAGTCCCCTGCCTGTGTACCCCACCATCTTTCCCCTAGACTTGCCGAGGCATTTGTCTTGGGGGTCGGGTGACTCTGCCATGCCTTGGTGCAGACCAGACCCATTTTGCTGTTTCTATCAAGCACCTTGTGTCCTGATCACCTGTGCACACAGTCACACCTCACCAACAAGTGGGGTTTGGGTGTTTGTCCCTCTCAGATCTCATGTTGAAATGTTGTAAGTGGGGCCAGGTAGGAGATGTTTGGGTCCTGGGAGTGCATCCCTCATGAATGGCTTGGCGCTGTCTCCAGGTGATGAGTTTACCCAAGAACCGGTTGTCTCAAAAAAGTCTGGCTCCTCCTTTTCCTTCTTCTCTCCCTCTTCCTCTTCCTCTTCGAGTGTCAAAGTCTGCTCTCTCTCTCTATCTGTCTCTGTCTGTCTCCCCCTCTCTTGCCGTGTGACACGCCTGTTTCCACTTCACTTTCCATCACAAGTGGAAGCAGCCTGAGGACTCACTAGAAGCAGATGCTGTTGCTGTGCTTCTTGAACAGTCTGCAGAACTGTGAGCCAAATAAACCTCTTTTCTTTGTGAATTACCCGGTCTCAGGTATTCCTTTATAGGCAGTGCAAAATGGACTAACACAGCAACCAAGAGACACAATAGAAAGACAGTTTTAAAAAGGCAGGAGAGCAGGTCTCTGGGTATACTTTTGCTTGTCACTTGGCAGAGGGTTTGTGGGATGCCTATTCCCATAGGCACTGGCCACCTGACCCATAGAGCCCCTCCTTGAATCCAGGAAGGTGATTAAGTGACTTTTAGAGGTCCCTTCAGGGCTGCACACCACACAGCAAGTGAAGACAGTCATTAGCTAGTGACTTGTGTCCAGGGAGGTCTTCATCACTGTCTGAACTCATTTTGTGAATAAGCACTTAAAGTCTGGCCCCCCAGAGCTCCATTCTATGCTGAGATGGGTGTGCTCAGATGCGGGCTGCACGCAGCATGAGCTGTGATTCCTTCGCTGCTATGCCCTGCCTTCGGAGGGACCTAGAACTGGGTGCCAGCACTTCTCAAGGCATGAATATCCCTCCTGTGGATACCACATGACTTAGGACTCTGTACGTGGTCCAGAAAACTCAAGACACATCTCAGCACTATGACCAGAGGCAAGTCAGTCCAGGCCCGAGTGCCATTGTTTGACTAGTACTACTAGGCCAGTTGATGGCTCCAAAGAAGGAAAGAGAAACTGCTTTTCTCCTGTACACAGACAAACCTAGATGACACCGTGGGTATGGCCACACCACACTGTCCACTGTGTCCCTTTCTGCGCTAAGGGTCCCCTCCCAGAAATCCTCTCCATACAGGCACGCCCTCCATCCCAGCCAGGTTTCCTGCCTCCTAATTCCCTACTTCTCCTTCTTAACTCCTTTTAAGACATGTCCATTCCCTGGCCTGGTATGGTGGCTCATGCCTGTAATCCCAGAACTTTGAGAGGCAGAGGCAAGAGGATTGCTTGAGCCCAAGGGTTTGAGACCAGCCTAGGCAAGTTGGCAAGACTTCACCTCTACGATAAAAAAAAAAAAAAAAAAAAGCCAGATATGGTGGTGCATGCCTGCAGTTCCAGCTACTTGGAAGGCTAAGGTGGAAGGACTGCCTGAGCCCAGCAGGTCAAGGCTGTGATGGCCGTGAGTGTGCCACTGCACTGCAGCCTGGACCACAGAGTGAGACTCCAGCTCAAAAAAAGAAAGAAAAGAAAAAGAAAAAGACACGCCTCTTCCCTTTGGGGGAGCAGTCTAATTAGTTTATACTCACGACTCTTAGCCAGGAGCTATTTTACCCCCTAGGGACATTTGGCCATGTCTGGAGGGGTTTTGGGTCACTCCAAGGGAGGTATGCAACAAAGGTGTTGCAAACATCCGCAGTGCACAGGGCAGCCCCCCAACAAGGAAATATCTGGCAAAACATGAATAGTGCTGAGATGGGGAAACTGATCTCACCAGGTGCCAGGCACTGCCCCGCCCAGGGGCGCTTCACTGGTGGAAGAGGCCCCCTGTTACCACGAGTAGGTCTGTCCAGGCTGGCTCTCAGGCATCCAGAGCTGGAGAGAATACTTCTGGGCAGTCCTAGTCTGGGACTCTGCTTTGGGAACAGTTTCCCCAGCGATTTCTGATTGCCTGTGTTCATCCAGTCATTCAGCGATGCCTCCCAGGAGCCAGCACTGAGCAAGATGAGAGGGAATGGTGGCCACACTCTGTCCTCACCATCGGCAGCATCTGTAGGCCCACCGGGCTGAGGCCATCCTCTCTATTTTACTGGGAGAGGCAGATCTTGCTGGCCATTCGTATGTGAGGAGTGGGGTGAGGGGAGGCGGTGTCAGAGGTCTGGGAGCTGTGGGAGGTGTTGAGGACAGGCATGAGGACCCACTGTCTCCTCCACCCCAATGCCCATCCTGGTCCGAGGCCCTGCGCGCTTAGATGGGCAGTTCCAAGCTGCCCTTCCAGGTAGGCCACTTTCAGCATCCCTGGGTGACCATCTCTGCAGAGCAGCCTGCTCTCTGAGGGGTTGGGGGCTTCAAGAGGCAGGGCAGAGCACAGCTGGCCCGTCAGTGTGATGGGAAGGGCTCTGTACCCACTGCCAGTGCCTGGCAGCCGTCAGCCTCCTGGGCTCCCATGGTGCCGTGCAGGTCTGTGGTCCTGGGGCAAGGAGACAGGTGATGGGAAGTGTATTTGCAGTTGTTTTTGGCCACTTGACTTTGCTTCTGGTCGCAGGGCCCCTGTGAGTCCCCGAATGTCCCCTGTCCTGTAAGCCCTTGGCTCTCTGCCCCCAGCACCCCAGTCCCTAGGAGCCCCAGTGGCAGGTGGCTTTTCAGCATTGTCTAGTCTCAGCTGTGGGTGCAGGTGCCTCTGCTGGCCCCTTCACAGGGCATCTCGTTCTGAGCCTGTGTGTTGCCAGGAACCCCTCATGTCTGGGGGCCATGGTCCTTTTGTGTGGACCCCCAAGAGGTCTCTGGGAGTATGTTAGTAAAAGCTGTATTTATTTTAAACTGGTGTGAGAGGGCCTGGGTAGCTAATTTATCAACTTCTGGGTGATTGGATTCAATACCATTGCTTAGATTTATTTTTACATATTTCTGCTAGAAGACTTGTGAGTCAAGATAGAAAAATAGTATCAGGGAAATATCAGGACAAGAGT